ACAGGTTGACCTGGGCTGGAAACCAGATCTCCTGTGTTTACTTTCTCATCAGAAAAATGTAGCTCCTTCCCTGAATCTATCACCATGTTAACTAATTTCAGTATTTGATAGAAACAGAGAAATGGTGACAGTGATCACCTCTGAGTGATAGGACTAGAAGTGATTTCTATATTCATCATTTTGCTTACCCATATTTTTTTATTTTTAACAATGAGCATGTAATATTTGTGTATAAACAATGAGAAAAATGTAAGAACCAGCAATCTTGTCGCTTAGTTCTTTCTTAATGATTTTACATTCTGAATTTAAGCTCAACATTCAAAGCAGAAAGTCACAGAATGTTTTTCCGAAAGATAAGATACGGGAAATCCAATAATTCCTGAAGGCACTTAGGATGAGCACCGGGTGTTGTATGTAAGTGATGGACTACTAAATTCTACTTCTGAAATCATTATTACACTAGATGTTGACTAACTTGGATTTAAATAAATTAAAAAAAAAAAGAATGGGGGAAAAAAAAAAAAAAAAAAGAAATCCAGTAATTCCTGCATATTGCCCTTTACCAAGCTAAACCAATTTCCGGTTTATCCTTAGGTTTACAAGAACAAATGAAAGATTTTTAAAAGTTTATTTATTTATTTTGAGAGAGAGAAAGAGCATGAGCAGGGGAGGGACACAGAGAAAGAATCCCACATAGGCTCCACGCTGCCAAAGGAGAGCCCAATATAGGGCTTGAACTTATGAACCTAAGAGACTATGGCCTGAGCCAAAATCCAGAGTCGGTTCCTTAACTGATTGAGCCACCCAGGTACTCCTAAATGAAATTGTTTTTAAAATAGGATTGATTATTTATTCAGTGTACTTTACATACAGTTAAGGTTATCTTCCTATGAATCAAAATCACAACAAAACTAGAAAAATTGCTGGTGAGGTAATGGAAGAAGAAATTCAAAGCCATGGTCTTGGGAGATCACATTATTCTCCAAAACAACTTAGTAACCCAAGGAAGTAACACCAGATGTAGATTTTAATTCCCTTTTTACAGACAAGGATTCATTTAATTCTAGTAATTTTTTTAGTGCTTTTATTTATTTATTTATTTTTTTTTTTTTTTGAGAGAGAGAAAGAGTGTGAGCAGGGGAGGGGCAAAGAGAGGGAGACACCGAATCTGAAGCAGGCTCCAGGCTCCGAGCTATCAGCACAGAGCCCAATGTGGGGCATGAACCCACAGACTGTGCAATCGTGACCTGAGCCAAAGTTGGATGTTTAAGCGACTGAGCCACCCAGGCACCCCTAATTCTAGTAATTCACTTATCAAATATTTGAATATTTACTATGCTCCAGGCATACATAGTTCTAGGCACTGGGGATACAACAGGAAACAAAACTAACAAAAATTCCTACCCTCATGAAGCTTGCCTTCTGGTCAGAGAAGCAGAAGATTCCCATGCAGCAAAACAATCTTTAGCACAGTTTTAATACTGTTTCTACTGTTTTACTGCCATTTTACTTAGAGAAAGAGAAATTTCTACCAAGTCCTTATTTACTTGTTTATTTGTTTGTCTGTTTTTGAGAGAGAGTGCATGCAAGCAGGGGAGGGGCAGAGAGAGAGGAGGACCGCAGATCCAAAACAGGCTCTGTCCTGACAGCAAGAGAACCCAATGCTGGGCTCAAACTCTTAAACTGTGAGATCATGACCTGAGCCGAAGTCGAGCACTCAACCAACCGAGTCACCCGGTATCCCCCTACCAAGTCCTTCCTAAGTGTGGCTAGGTTTACTGTTTCTTGCCATAACTCTGCTAGGAGTGGGACAGACTGCATGCCAGTACCTTTGGAGTCAAAGTAACTAGAAAATTGGTGAGTTACCCAACCATAACCTTCCTACAGTGAATGTCTTAGGATTTAGCGGATACAAAATGGTTCAGATGTTCCCAGAAGAAGCTAAAGTGTCCCCAGGTATGACTGGAGTAGAGAGCTGAGCTAAAAGGTTGAGATACCTCAACCTGGGATGTTGGGACTGCCATGGTGGGCTACTGGCATAAGCAGAAACAGAAATGGTACTAACTTAGTGAGAAGGAGATTTTTAGCTCCATGTGAGAGAAAACGTTTCAATAGCCAGAGATGTTCCACAGTAGAATGGGCAGTAGGAAGGGCAGTACTCAGGCTCTGACAGTGGATGGCTGGCCCATCTCTCCCACTTACTGGCTGTGTGACCTTGGGCTAGTCTTAGAACCTCTATAGGCCTCAGTTTCCTTGTCTGTAAAATGGGAATTAATTTTTTTTTAATGTTTATTTATTTTTAACAGAGAGAGACAGACAGATTCAGAGACACAGCATGAGTGGGGGAAGGGGGAGGGAGGGAGACACAGAATCTGAAACAGGCTCCAGGCTCTGAGCTGTCAGCACAAAGCCGGACGCGGGGCTCGAACTCACAGATTGCGAGATCATGACCTGAGCCAAAGTCGGACGCTCAACCAACTGAGCCACCCAGGTGCCCCTGTAAAATGGGAATTAAAACGGTACCTAGTTCTGGGCACCTGGCTGGCTCAGTCAGTAGACCATGCAACTCTTGTTTTCAGGGTTATAGGTTCAAGACCCACGTTGGGTGTAGAGATTACTTAAAAACAAAATCTTTAAAAAATATAATATAAAATAAAATAAAATAAAATAAAATAAAATAGTACCTAGTTCATGGGATTATGGTGAAGATTAATAAGAGAAAGCAAGAGAAGCAGAGCTCACCCGAAGTGGGGTTCATGCTCACCCAATGCAGGGCTCAAACTCATGAACTATGAGATCATGACCTGAGCAAAAGTCTGTTGGTTGCTTAACTGAATGAGCCACCCAGGCGCCCCTATTCTATGCTGTTTTTATGGTGGATTTTATTCTATTTGTTTTGATATCAAAATAATATTATATACATTCATATTTGGCAAAATGATTAACATTTGGTAGTTGTGATGTTAACATCACAAAATCCGTGGCTATAGCAGGGATAGAACCTACAACTCCCTACGACGATTCCTCTCAACAGGGCTTGATGCTACCACATTTTGGATATGACCATGGTCTGAGCCCAGGACACGACCCCTGACTAATCAGGGAATGCCCTAAAGCAAGAGCACCACCAGCCATACACACACCCAACAGGGCTGATTTGAAAGGCATCAGGGGTTCAAGACAGAAAGTCCCCAGGGAGGCTATCCTCAATGTCACAAAGATCCCAAGAGCCTACATCTGAACAGAGCAGCAGTGCCAGCCTGAGCCCCACTCTGGGACACCAGAACTGATAGATGCAGATGGCAGCCTGCAAGGCAGGACTCTGGAGGCATAGCCAAGCTGGGCTGGAAAGCCAAGTTATAGCTCAGTGGGATGAAGGGCAGCCTAAAGGTAGCACAGGACAGGACCCCAACCCAGTCATAATCCCTCTTGTGATTGGGGGGTGGGGGGGGGGTGGGGGCGGGGAGGGGGCAGAGATTCAGACAGGATTCTTCTTCCACCCCAGTGAGGACACTCCAAGGGCAGCTGTCCAACCCCAAGAGACGTGCTTTACAGCCCAGCCCTACCTCCTGGCCCTGGCTGTTGGTAACAGTCCAAGGGCAGGAGACAGCAAGCAGCCAATCTACTTATGTGTGCCCAGCAGGACCTCTAGCAGCTGCCATCCCCATACCAATTGCCTTAGGGTCAGTGGGCAGCCTTACTGTTGAGCCAAGGTACAGGCCACAAGTTCCTGCCATCATACCCTCCCACTGGCCAGCTTTCCAGGCATGCCTAGGCCTGTCTGAACTCTCGCAGGTAGAGTTCAGGCCTATCTCCCCCACTCCCCTCACACCCACTACAATAATGTCTTGTATGTGTGTGGTGCTTAGTGCTTTCCAATACACTTTTCATATCCTGTATGTACTGATTAGGATTTTTAGTTGTAAGCAAAAGTAACTAACTTTGGCTAATGTGCACAGCAAAGGACATAAATTAAAAGATAGTGAGTAAGTAGCTCACAAAATTTCCAAGAAGGTAGAAAATCAGGCTTGGAAGCACGCAGTCAGAAACAATGCCCTAAACCCCAACTCAACAGTGGTCTAAGAACACATTACTGTGACCACTGAGTCTGGAATGGCAGGATACCATCCCTGCCACCTACACCACAGACACCCTCATACTGGATGCTGCTGGCAAAACTGCTACCACTTAAACTGAGATTGTACCCATCAAATCACTAGAAATAGATGCTGCTCCTTTGCTGTCATTGGCTTCCAATTCAAAATTGGTGAGGTGTAGCAGGAGGAAGGGGGCCTGTCTGACTGGAGGAGCCTGAGCCTCAAGCCAATGTCCACGCCCTAGCTGTAAAGGAAGATGGCTCCACCTCATGAGGCATAGGATTCCTCAAGCATAGGAAGGAGGCTCAGTTGCTAGGCAACCAAAATGGGTGACAAATGTTCAACTTTGCATTGTACTCAATCATCACACTAACACACGAAGTTGTCAGAATGACTCCTATTTTCCCCATTTTATTTATTTTTTTAATGTTTATTTATTTTGGAGAGAGAGAGAGAGAGCACGCGCGCGCATGGGGGAGGGGCAGATAAAGAAGGAGACACAGAATCTGAAGCAGGCTCCAGGCTCTGAGCTGTCAGCACAGAGCCTGATGTGGGCCTTGAACCCACGAACTGTGAGATCATGACCTAAACTGAAGTTGGACACTTAACCGACTGAGCCACCCAGGCGCCCCTTGTTATCACCATTTTAGACAGCAGGAGTGTGACCAGAGCAGCTTCTCTACTGATATATTGATATAAAACAGGGAGAAAAGCAAAGTTTTGTTTTCAGGTTTAAAAGATCAACTGCAGAAATGTGTGACCTGGCTACAGGTCACTTTAAGAAGGTCTCAGAATCTCATCTAATCTTAAACTTCATATGAACCCAGCTGAAGAGGTGGCTGATATACCACTGCAGATTTATGGGTGGGACAGCATCTTGGGTTCTAGGCCTGCTGGACTTACCCAGGCTTGAACATTCTAGTCTGGCCACATATTTGCAGAGAGGGGCAGCCAAGGTAAAGAGGTTCCGTAACATCTGGTATGTGGGCTCTGAGCTTCAGAGGGCAGAACTGGGGCCACACGGGAACCACAGGGATGAGCTGCCACCTCAGTACCTGTAGAACCTGGCAAAAACAAGATACACTTCCCCATGACGTTGTGAGTCTCTATTGCCAGGGATTTGCCAACAGAGGTTAGAAAGCCATCTACTAGAAATTTCAGTTGAACTAGATGATAAACACAATCTCTTCCAACTCTAAGATGCTATAAGCCTCTGATGTGTGTTAAAAGGGCAGGCATGACCCACAAGTTAGGACAATGACCCTCCAAGAACCTCCTAGGGACCTAGTGAATTAACCAATGACAAAAAGATAAGAAAAAAAAGAAAACAAAAAATGGGCACTTTTACTAGACATCAATTATATGCAAAAATACAAAGAAGAATCATTTTATACTTTACATCAGCCAAAACAAAAAGAAATGTCTAATGCTGGAGAGACTGGGATAAAATTGGAATTTGTGCTAGTGACTGGATAAAGTGGGTACCACTTTTTTGGAAATCAACATGGCAAGTAATATCAAAACACCAAAATTATTTTTAATCCTTCAACTCAATAACTGTTCACTTGGGAATTTACCTTAAGGAACAATTTAAAGGGTAATTGCTATTGACTTGGAAGTACTCATTACATCATTATTAATAATAAACAGTAAGCCTTAAATAGGGAAGAGATTAAATATAGTATAGTTTTGATGGAATATTAGGCAATCATTAGAGATGGTGTTTATAAAGAATCTTTGTTCCTTGAGGGCAAGTCCTGCATCCTGTTTACTACTATAGATCCAGCTCTGTCTGAAACACAGAAATAGTTCATTAAATATTTGTTGAACGAATGAGTGAATGAACAACTGAACAAATGAATTCAATCTTAGCAAGAGAAAATGCTTATTACATGTTATGTTAAAAAAAAAAAGCAGAACTCAAAATTATATCTAAACTATGATTTCCAGAATATGAAAGACTATATATACATGTGTCCTACATGTAGAGTGTAATGTGGAACGAATTTTTAAATAAGATGTTTGGGTTACATACTAGGGATGATGTGTTATTCTTATTTATTCAACATGTCTTACTGAGTATCTATTATATATCAGGTGCTGTGCCACATGCTGTGAATACAATAGTAAAAACAAAAACAAAAACAAAAAAACAGAGACAGTCTCTACCCTAATGGGTAGTTTATGTTAGTGGGTTACTGGAGGTGTGAGTGGGAGAGAGATCGAAAATAAACAGATAAGAGAATGTATGTCAGATGGTGATAAGTGCTATTGGAGGAAGAAAAAAAAAAAAAGCAGAATGGGGGATAGAGAGTGTTAGGAGAGGAAAGGCTGTCATTTCATATGGGTGTCCATGAGGATACTTGGGAAAAGAGCCTCCAAGCAAAGGAAACAGCAAGTGCAAGGGCCCTGAGGCCAGAGTGTACTTGGTACACTCAAGGAACAGCAAGGAGATCAATGTGCTGAAACACGGGGTACTAGGAGATAAGGCAGAGATGCTACAGGAGTCAGAGTATGTTTGCTTTCAGTGAGACAAAGAAGCCACTGGGAGTTTGAGCAGAGGTGTGATGAGATTTGACTTACGTTTAGAAAGAATCATTCTTTTTACAAGAATACGTTATGAGAGTTTAAGATAAAAGGAAGTATTTTAAACAAAGAAAAGATTATCATAACATTCATGAACTGATTTACAAAATACTTTCTGAGCACCCCCACTATTCTCAGGGTCTGGAATAGCAAAACTACTTCAAGATTACAAAGACATTAACCATACAAAAATATTTTTAAATAACATTGGGTTTTTTAAGACAAAGATTGTTCATAGCAATGCAGCGATTTTGTCATTTTTCTTTAAAAACTATGAAAAATCATTTTTCTCAATTAACATTTAGATGCAATTTCATATTCTATACCAAGTCCCATAATTGTAAACTGAGCTGCTTCTGGGAAAATCTTTTTTTTTTTTTATCTTTTAATGTTTATTTTTGAGAGAGAGACACACAGAGTACAAGTGGGGGAGGGGTAGAGAGAAAGGGAGGCACAGAATCTGAAGTAGGCTCTAGTCTCTGAGCTGTCAGTGAAGAGCCCGATGGGGGGCTCCAACCCACAAACTGCGAGATCATGACCCGAGCCAAAGTCGGACGCTTAACTGACTGAGCCATCCAGGTGTCTCTGTTGGGAAAATCTTAAAGTTGGCTGCTTACTTGACTTGTCTTACATAGCTCACATACAGCACTCCTACAGCATCACTCACAACCCAACATTACTGATAGGAGGCCCTTGTGGAAAGTCTGTATGTGCTGGCAAGATTATCTGAAAAACTAATAGAATCCTTGTAATCCTTTTCAAGGATGCAGAAAGGAAAATGGCTGCATTTCAAATTCATGGCATTTCAAAGGCATGAATTAAGCTCTAAACTCTACATTTGAAAAAAAATCAACACAAGTTCTCTAATTTATGTTCTAAACTGAGAAAACAAATCGTTGCTAAGAAATGAAATTTGCAAAAATTTTAAAACACATTTTCTAGTTGATATGCACATACTTAAATCTACAAACTACACCAAAATATAAACTGCAGGAAACACTACATTGAACTTGGTTGATACAACTTCACCATGAAATCTAGAATTGTTTTTCGGTTTCATTAAGTTTATTCCTAGACATCCTGCCTTTTAGGTATGTATAAAACTGATCATGTTGAGATGATACCTCTATGAAAATGTACAAGAAAGTCATGGCTCTTATGAGAGTGAGAGGGCTTCTTCTTAGCTCTCCAACATCTTGATTTCTGTGTCACTCATGTCAGAGGTTTCTGCACCCTATCCCTCCTTCTTACCATCTGTTAACTTCTCACTTACCATATATTTTGACACAGAACTACCAGGATTCCTCTCTCCATCAAAGCAGCCATCTTTATGAGTGACCTGCCAATGACCTACAAAATTGCCTTTCAATGCCTTCCCATGACCTCCTCTGTCCTCTCCAGTCACCCTGCCATTGCCCCTGACCAGAGTTCCTCTACCTCTGATCAGCACTGCCTGCCCTCCCTGCTCTTCCCTCCCACCCATCACATCATTCTTCTTACTATACTAAGAACTCCACCCCTCCACCTCCACCCCTCTGCCCACTCCATCCTGGCTTCACCTCCTTCCTCTTAGTGGCCCAGCACTCCTACCTCTCTTGTCAACATCTCCAACTTCCTTGCTTTCTGGTCTCCTTTGTCCAGCAAAGCCCAGCCCTGGAACAGCCTCACCAATAGCCTTTCCCACGCCTATCTCAGCGTTGATAGGATGCTGAAGAAAGCCTCGAACCCTACAAATTAGTGCCCCACAAACCCATGGCTTTCAACCACAGCAAGCCCTCACTACTGCCCTGTGGTGCGTGTGGACTGCTATTAGCTTTCCGTCCTCTTTTCCACAGCAGCCATCTTGAATGTTTTCACTCTTTTTCCAAGCTTTCCATTCCATCCAATTCCCTCACACTGAGCAGATATCCTTGCCTCTGACATCACATAAGAAGTAATGGCCACTGGGTATGAACTGCCTCCATTTCCTGATCCCATCTCCCAACCACCTGGTACCCACCAACCTACCAACCTACTTGCATCTCCAACTCCTCCTTCCTTTTTCCCCTCCCGTCTTAAATGAAAAGTAGGCCCTCCTCCTGCCTGAGGCTGAGTCTGAACTCTACCACCTTCTACCATCTTGCTGACCTCACTCCATCCTTCCGCCCTTCTCTTTCCTTTATCCTCAACTGTCCCTCTACTGGCTTTACCCCATCAGCATTTTTAAATGTCCTAACCTCTTTCAACTTAACCAAATTGTCTCTCAGCTCTACATCCTTTCTGGTTTTCTCCCTCCTCCCCTTCAAAACCATTTCTAAGAGTTATCTACGTTGGTATTTCCCAAAGGATTTTGGTTTTCTCTTTGACTCTCTCTGGTGAAGGATTTTACCATTCCCATGGTTTTGATTATGATGTATGTAGTCCTAACTTGTTAACTTATGACTCTTTTTTCCAGATCAGATCTCTCAAGTATGATAGGCTCTCAGGATCTGTTTTCTTGGTTTGAATTAGTTTTAGGGTAATAGACCCTCTGGTTATTTCTTCTTTGGACATAAATTCCCAAATATTAAGGCACTTTCCCAAGCCAAACCTACTGGACATCTCACCTGGTTGTCTCCCACTCATTTCAAACCCACCTGCTCCTTTACTATTCCTCACCTCAGGGGAAAGTACCACCATCCGTCCACCAAGTTTTCCAAGGCAGACATCCAGGTATCATCCTTAACACACCACTCTCCTCCAGGCCCTCAACTCATCACTCACAAAGTCCTTTGAATATTTACCTCCCTAACACATCTCAGATCTACCCTCTCTTTTCTATCTTCATAGATGCTGTGCTGGAACACTGCAGCAGCTTCTGACCTACATTCCAGCCTCATCTTCTCCTGGTCATTTTCCACACAGGCCTCAGACTTTTCAGAATACATGTCTCCCTAAAAATCTTCATCTTTAGAATAAAGTTATATTCCTTAGCCTAGTATACTAGGCTCTTCAAAACCCAGCCCTGGTTAATCCAACCCCATGTCTGAGATTCAACATTCTGGTTAATCCCCACAATATTTAATCAGAAGACCTATGGAACTTCACTGAGACCCTTTTTTCCCCCTTTAACATGGTAGGAGTCTAGCTCAATGTTCCCCTAAAATCCTTTGTAACCCTAGGTTCCAAGTAGCTAGAATTCCATTCTCTTAGGCTTCTATTTTCTAAAACCACCCCTAAAAAATGGCAAAACAAATATATTGAGCATATACCTGACCCAAATCATACCACTAGTAAGAGAGAGAACGGAAATTTGAACCCAGATTAGCCAGGACACCACCTCCTGCTTGTTTATTCACAGTCAAACCAATTTCTGATAATCCAAGATGAAGAACATTTTATTAAGTGCTTAATATTTGTGAAGTGCTTTACATAAGGCATCTCATTTATCTATTAAAACATTGTCAAATAAGCAAACTGCAGATCTGATCATGTAGTTTGTGCAAGTTTGAATCCCCCCACCTTTACCCTATTAGCTGCTCCCTAAAACCAATAAATACCATTTTACAACTGAAGAAACAGGTCCAGCCCAGGGTCACACATCGAATTGGAGGCAAAGTCAGAATTAGAATCCAGATTTTCTGACTTCACTTGACCATGTGGATGATGCTATTTTAGTCCCTGCTTTCTGGGAGAATCACGGAACCCTGGTTTTCACTATTTGCAACGATTTCCTGAAAAGTAGCCCTACTACTTACGGCTACGCTGACCTCCGGAGTTTCAGCTGTGGCTCTACGCAGCATTCTTTGTTAACCTTCTGTTGATAACTCTGCCAATGCTCTGTTGATGCCCATCCTGTGGCCTAATCTTCCCCCACCTACTTTTCCAAAAACCTCTGCTCTCACTGCATCCAGAGAACTAGGCACTCTGTGTCAGCACAAATCCTATTTCTTCCCCCTCCTTATAGTTTTCTCATCTTCAGTAAAGAGGCCCCATTTGTTTATCCAGCTCCAGTGGCCTTCCCTTATGGTTTGTCTGGATCAAAATCCCTCTGCCATGCCTCTTAGAGGTCCTGTTATTTCCTCCCCAAATGCAACCCATTTTACTCATTCCCCCATCCTAGCCTTCCCTCCGTGGATATCATCAACTCAAGGATGACAGCGTTGCTTTTTCTCAGGATCTGTCTCTTGGGTTTGAAACAGGTTCAGGGTAACAGTCCCCCTGGTTATTTCTTTGGCCATGAATTAATTATACCCATATATTCTCCCAAGAATGCTTTAGCTGAAATACACCCAAAAGTCTGGTGGGGTGACATATGAAGCATGTGTGGGATTAATTGGACCATCTGGCCAACACCAGAGCCCTGAGTGGAAAAAGATTCAGGAAAAAAAAAAAAAAAAAACTAACTAGCAAGGTGGGACATCACCACCAGGGCCCTATGATGCTGAGCAGAGAATGAAAGAAGGGCAGGCATCTCAGACTGTCATTGCTTCACAACTGACAGGGGCAGAAGATCTTTCCCAGAAAGGGAGTGGGAGGTAGGGAATTTAGGCACAGAAAGAAGGGCAAACAGCTAGAAATAGGGGAACATGAAGAACTGATGACCTTTAGTGGAGAACTGACAAGACTTCCAAGTAATGATCAGCATGAATCTATGAATCCCTAGTGTCATAGAATTCTAAGGACTCTCAAAGCACTCAGGCAAAATTCCAATCCATTATATGAATGACAAACATTTCCTCATGAGGGTGGCATCCCTCTAGTTGAACGTTTTCAGCAATGGAAAATACACAACCTTAGGAAATTAAGAGCACGGAGGTGTGAGTAAAATTCAATTAGTGTTCAATTCATTTTCAACTCAACAAATATCTCAGAGTACCTACTATGTGTCAGACACTATAGGCACTGGCTTATACCTATGAATAATATAGACATGGCCCCTGTTCTGTGGATCTTATCATGTGGAAGATGGATACATAAGCACACAAATGGAATAGGGGAAGTAGAGGGTGCTGCTCATATGCAAGGTGGAATACCTAATATGGAGCCAGACATCTAGGAAGGCTTCACAGAAGACGCAACGTCTAGGCTGGGGCTTGAAGAATGTGAGGGGTTAGCTGAATACAAGGGTGGAGGGAACCACCAGAGTGAGAGAAAACGGGTGGTTAAGACTTCCCAGACACCAAAAGAAGTTCAGAGTGTCGCAAGAACAAGGTGGAGACCAGATTTAGAAGGGCCCTTAGAGCAATGTTGAGAGGAGTGTGGGCTTAATTCCATAGATAATGAGGAGTAGCGCCCTCTGGCTACTCTGGGGAAAATGTTGCCGTATCAGGGATGGCGTAAGGAGACCAGAATCCTGGATGGGAAGACTGGATAAGACCTTGACGGCTCAAGGGATATGACCAAAGTAAAGCACTCCTCTATAAGTTCGAGACAAAACTAAAGCGATAAAGTTCAGAATGCCACACTCTCAAGCCACAGGTCTCCTCCGTCCTCTCTCACCTTTTCTGGGCAAACCAGAGCGGCTCGACCTCGGTTTGCCCCATCACCGCGGACTGTGGGCAGGGGGACGGCTCCACACCCTTCTTCTCAGGTAGGAAAACTGAGGCCCAGAGTCCCGTGGAGGGTGCCGAGGACAAAAAAAAAAAAAAAAAAAAATCGAAACGGCCTCCCAAGAGGCTGCCGGTAGTCACGCACAATCCGAGGGTCCCGCGGCCTGCCCCATTTCTCAGTCAGCCGGCCCCAACCAGCCGCCTTTGCTATGGAAACAGTCCTCCCGCCCTCCTCAGCGCCTCGGTTTCTTCATGCACCCTGGGAAATGCAGTCCACCCCCGGTAACCTGCCCGCGGCATAAGCCCCCTTCGTGTCCTTAAAGGACTACGAGTTCCAGAAGGCAGTACAAAAACTCCGACAGTCTCTAGGGCATGCGGTCTTGACGAAAAGCTAGAGAAACCCGCCGGCTGGGCCGAAGAGAGTGGAGAAGGCGCCCCCAATGGGCGGCCTTCTGGGCGTGGCCAGGATCTCCATTGGCTACGGCCGCGCAGGGGAGGCGGAGTCAGCGGAATGAGGCGCGGAGCTGTTCGCCGCTCCAGGTGCTGAGTCCGAGGGAGGCTCCCGACGCGAGAGCCGCGGTCTCCGCCGCCGCCACCGCCGCCGCCGTCACCGCGAGAGCCACCGCGGGAAAGCCGGGGCAGTGAGGAGCGCAGAGGAGCTCGTTGCGCTGCCGAGCGCTGACAGCCCTCCCTCCTCTTTGAGGTCGGTGCTGCTGGATTCTCTTTTGTTTTATTGGGGACGGAATGAACTGAGATGAGGGGGCCTGGGGAGTTGATGGGACCTCTCCTCACCGCCCTCAACACCATCTGTCCCGGAGAGCTGCTGACTGACTCCTTGCGGGCCTCTCTGTGGCCTGTCGCCTGAAGTCGGAGCAGCTTGCGTTAGTTTTTGTTCTATGGTAGAGGGGATTCTCGAGTGTGAGGGGCAAAGGCTGGGGGAACTCCCCCCGTCTCTACTGAGGGGGCGTTGGGGAGCTTGGAGCCTTCCCCCACCCTTGTGCCTGATAACGAGGCTGCTTGGATTATTGAGGATGGGAGGGAGTGTTATGGGATGAAAGGTCCAGAGGCAGGGGGACCCTTCCCCATAACACCTGTACTGCTTGAGGTTACAAAGGGGGTCTGGATGTGATGGATGACACCGGGAAACTGCTCCTCCTCTGCTCAGACCCTCCTGGGCTTATTGAGGAGGGGCTGTTTGCGATGTCAGGAAGATCCTTTCCGTGCCCACCCCTCTCCCGAAGCCTAGGTTTTTGTGAAGAGGAGAAACGGGATGGAGATGGAGACGGGACTCTTCCCCCTCCCACTTGGACCCGCCTCGGTTATTGGGGGAGGGGAGTGGGACGTGAGGAACTAGAGCCGGGGAGACCCTTCCCCACAATACTTGAAGTCGCTGGCACAGGAAGGCACTGACGGATTCTTGGGGTCCTCCATGCTCGGGGCCCCGCGCCTAAGGTCTGAGTGGCCTGGGTGTGGATGTGCGGTGGGGGAAAGTAAGAAGGGTGCAGGGAATCCACCCGACCTCCCCCTACTTGAACCTTACCTCTCAGGCCCTCTCTACCTGGATCCAGGTCAGGGGCCCAAGTCGAGAAGACCCTCCCTGTCCCGCTCAGTCCCGCCCCGCCCGGCGACCCGGCTCCTGCACCGCGGCAGGGAGCCAGACGCGGATGGGCACGTGCGGGGCGGAACGGGGCGGGTCCCCTCTCTAGCCCTACGAAGCTCCAGGCAGACGCCCCCTGAGCCTCCAGACCTTTGGGACTGCTCGGCTCCACGCGGGGCGCGCCCCAGATCCGGCTACCGAAACCTGCTTCCAGGGCGCGCGGCGGCCGCTTCGCGAACAGGGCTTTTGCGCTCGGCCCAGGCATCCTCGTTAGGACAAAGCGGCGGTCTCCGCACTGGCGGGCCTGCGCCACCCGCTGGGCTGGGGGCGCGGCTAAGGGAGGGGGGGCTCCGGGCGCGGCGAGGAGAGCTTCCGCGGAATCACGCCGGGAGCCGGGCGGGAGACAAAGCGCGCTAGCTTCTCTCGGGCCTGCGCGAGCCGGCATGGAAAATCCCGAGGGAGGAGGCGGCTGCGCCCTGGCTCGGTACTATGCCCTGCATCCTTCTTTCCCGCACATCACCCCCTAACGCTGGCCGGGCACCCCAGGTTGCAGTGTGTGCAGTGGTAACCAGGGTTCCTCCTGGGGGACATTCAAGATCTGTGGCCACGAGGACGCACGCGGACAGGCAGGGGGCTCCGCCTGGAGGGTAGGGTCCCAGGATTCAGGAGATATAGATGGACCGGGGTCTGGAGAGGCATCCTGACTCGATCTCGCTACGCTCCATCAACCATGTTAGGTCAGGTTTGATTTTCGGGTTCGAGTGTATGTGTCACCGTGTGTTTGCATGGGTGATGATGTGGGTCAGAGTGTGAATATTAACGTGTATGACTGTGTGAATTGCCAGTGTGTGCTCCAATGTTCATGTGTGTGTCATGATGAGCTTGTGAATCTGTCTGTGTGTGCTTGTGGGAGGAGGAACCACTCTCTGCTGACCTTAGATGTTGGGGGTGTGGGCAGGTTGGTTGTCTCTTCCACTCTAAAGCCACAGTAATAATTTAGGGTTCCAGTGGGTGCCCTCAGGGTGAAGGTAGCTTCAGGCTGCCTTGGGCCTAAACTGCATGCTTGGGTGTGGCCTAGAAGATAGGACATCACAAGTATGTGGAGCCCTCGTCAGCCTTTCTGGGGTCTCAGATCAGACCCTAACATCTCCACCATTGCCCTGCCCTTCCCATCCCTCAGAAATCTTATCCTGCTGCAAGGGGTTGCCCTGAGGCCCAGAATTTCACCCCACCTCTCCACGTGAGCTTCCAAGTGGGGCTTGGGGGGCTCATCAGCATAGTCTTTTATGATTTTGGGGTGCAAGATATTGTGGCAAGGAAATTTCCTCAATTTGGCCTCCATGCCTGGAAGGTCTATAGGTCTGGGGTTGCCAGTCAGTGGCAGGTGGCCTCTCAGTAATACCAGGTATACTCACAGAGAGGGTATGAGTGTGGCACACAGATACCACTATGAGTGGACACCCCTAGAGGATGACAGCCCTCCCAGACCTGCCCATTCCCAGTGAGTGACCTCAGTTTCATAGTACTTTACAGCAAAGGTGTTGTGTGGCTTTGAAACAATACCCACCAGAGACCCCCTTCCCATAGGATGAGGGGCTAGACAGTTTTGAGTGCAACCACAGAAAAACCCATTATTAGACAGTGGAGCCACCATCCAGCCCAGCCCTGCCTGATCCAGTCTGAAGTATCCACTGCCAGTATCCACAGCGACCTCTACTGGGAAAAGTAGTAAATTTGCAACTAACACTCTCCCTGAGTGTGGAGGTTCAGGGTGGGTGTGGGCACTGTTAGGTAAAAATCACAAACCCTTTCATATGGGGCTCCCTGTCAGCCTTTCGAGTCCTAAGTTGATATTCTTAATGGAAGTGACTTCAAACTAGTCCAAGCAGTGAAATTGCTACTGTCCTTGCCCATACAGAAGTATTTGAAGAGGGCCAAAAGGCCTTTGTCCAAGTTTCCATCCAATTGGGGATGGACATCAAATCCATTTGTGAGGAAAATGCATGGAAAACACTTATCAAGTTCAGGGAGTTTTAAGCATCTTTCTTATCTCTTCCTCTCCTACTATGATTCCCACCCTCCCCTTCTTATTCCACTTTCTCCTCCTCTCTTCCTCATTATTAGCCAATAACATATTTTTGTTTAATTTTTTTCTAATGTTTATTTTTGAGAGAGTGGGGGTGGGGGAGGGTCAGAGAGAGAGGGAGACACAGAATCTGAAGCAGGCTCCAGACTTCAAGCTCTCAGCCCAGAGCCTGGTGTGGGTCTTGAACACATGAGCTGTGAGATCATGACCAAGCCAAAGTTGGATGCTTAACTGACTGAGCCACCCAGGTGCCCCGCCAATAATGTATTTTGAAAGATAAGCCTTCTTTTACCTTGTTGAAAATGTGGCCCAGAAAATGCAGAAATCAGAAGGCTATTACTAAGTACAAAGAACTGGCCAACACTGGCTCTCCTAGATCTAACGGGAGTAGGGGAGATGGATGAAATATGCTCTGTCTTAAATGCTTGCCTGGTGACATGTGTCTCTTCTCCCAGAATTGCTCTGAAGAGATTTCACACAGCCACAAAATCTTTAGAGCTCCTTAAAGGAAAGGAGGTATTTAAATACCTAGTATTGTTCTTACTTTAGCATCCATGTGATTTGCATTGAACTACATGACTCAGTATCATAAAGTAAAAATAGGACCTAATCTCTTCCTTGCCTGTTCAGAAGGTGACTGCATATGTGTGTTGCATTCTGCATGAAAGAGTGAAAAGCTAAATTATCTCATAAATTGAACCACCTGCTTATTCTGATTAGAGAATGGCACTTAACATCACCTACAGGCAGTAACATTATTTTATGTTTCTTTTAATTCATACCTGAATCTCTTTGTCTTGTAAAACCTTTCTTCATGCTCATACATTATTACTTTCACTTGAAGTTAATCAAGAATGTTTAATCCTTGTACAAAAGCCAAACAAATTAAATATCAGCAGATACAGGAAGATGTGGGTGGTGTTTCTGTTCTTGGGCTCAAAAAAATTATTGGAGTTCACAGGAGAGTAGTAAAGGGGCTGAAGAGTTAGTAAATCTTATTTATGGGTGTAGTTAACAGGTTCATGAAGAGGAGAAGCTCCTCAAAATTTTTTTAGGAGTGCTGGTCGTGTTGAAGAATCTGAGGATGCAAGCAAATAGTATGCATGCTGTGAGTGAGAATGAACGAGTGGGATTCCTAAATCCAAGTATTAATACAGCCTTTGTGGGAAAAATCCACTAAATCCCTCCTGTTCTCTCAGGTTGCCAGTAGCCAAGAAGGAGTGGAGCTGTCCAAGGTTCTGGAACTCTGGCCTCAACCCACTAGTGGAGAAGGCAGGATTCAGGGCAGGGAATAGAAGGAAGCTCTGAGGACCAAGGCTTCTGTAAGGATTTCCCCAAAGCTCATCACAGAAAGAAATAGGAGGAAACAGAGCTGCAGAGGCTTTTATTGTATTGCTTCAAACAAACCCATTGGCAAACCCTATTTAAAGAATTACAAGCTAATAATAAGAAACAACATTTCTGAGTCAGGCTTTTCAAATGTATTTAATCTTCACAGTCCTATGAGGTAGGTGGTGGTGGTGGTGTCTCCACTTTCAAGAAGAGGAAATGAAGCTTTGGGAGGAAAGGGTCTTGCCCATGATTACACGGATCAGAAGGAATAGAGTTTAGATTCCAAACTGGATCTCTTAAACTCCAGAGTCTCCTCTTACCATTATTTTTTCCTACTGCTATCGTAGAAGCAAAATTGAAGTTTCGGACTGTCCTATATGAGATTCTAACCAACTTTTAGAGG